TCGGACTCGGAACGCCACCACTAAAACCCGTACCCTTCTTCTGGAGCCCTTTACCCTCCCTCGGAAATGTCGTAAGGACTTTAGCCTTCGAGGGTGGCGCTCAATCTGTCGCTAATGCGACTTTCTGCTTTCTCTTTGCGGTTTATCCTGCGTAATAGTTAAAAATTTAAAACTATTTCACTATAAAGCGGAATTAACAGCACAACATAATTAAAAATAACAAATGTTTAATTAGTGCGAAAAAGTCAGAAGATAAAATTATAAACGGATATATAAAAAAAAGAAAAAATAAACGCGTATAAAAATTCAAAAAAAAAACATGTAAAATGTACAAAGATGAATAAAAACACAAAACAAGTAAAAAATGTATAAGGACAAATAAAGTCACAAAATAAATTAATAAAAAACAAACGAACAAATTAAAAGCTGTTTAAAATTACGCTTTTTGGCGGCCGTCGAGATCCTTCCTCGACATAACCGAGATTATGAAGTCTCGACTTGCCGCCAATTCTCCTCTGACTGGGTCATCAGCGATACCATGTTCTCCGGTGTAACTTGACTGTTTTACACCTTCGAACATGGCCGCCTCTCCAAGTCCCATTTCTTGCATGAGAAGAGGGTGTGCTCCGCGTTGTCATCAGGGAACTGGCAATATGCACACACCTCGTTCTCGCGTAATTAAAGCGACACAGGTACGAGTTAAAACACCGTGACCTGTGTGAACGCCCTGAGTCAAGTAATAGGAAACCTGACCGTGGTTCCTATTTATCCAGGTGGCGAGTGCCGGGTAAGGCGATAAGTCCATCGACCTTTTCCTCACCATCCCATCTTTCTTGCCATCTTTCTATGAGCCTGTGCCTCGCTTCTTTGCGGATCAGGCCCTTGCTTGGTTTAATCCTCCTTCAAGGAACTGCTTTCTTTAGAAAAGAGAAACATTTCTTCCCTTTCCCTCGCCAAAAGATCTGCTGGCGGGACACTTGCAAGACCTGCACAGCACTCGTAGATACCGTCTTATATGCAGAGATGATACGCGTTGTTATCGATCTCTGCGCAGACCGTATCTTTTCACAGACTGGTCACCACATCTTTACTCCTCAGGGATGGGGCCCACGCTGGTTGCTGCATAGAGCATTTTAGCGTGGGCGACACTCGCCACCAGTCTTCTTTTTGTTCACTGGGGTCCGCCAACATTTGGCATAGCCGTGAAAGATTAGCCGCACACTCGATCGCCTTATTTGACAGGCCGTAGCCATGTGGTGGTGGAAGTTTAACCTTCCATCTAACTCCACACCAAGATATTTAATTTGCTTACCTCACTTGACCTCGAATTTGTCTATCACGATTCGTGGGAGCTCATAACCACGTCTGTCTGTGACCCAGCAGTGCCTCGGTCTTTTCCAGGGCCATTTCAAGACCTCTGGTATCCAGCCAGCTTTTAGCTAGTCGCAGACATTCGTTCACCAATGTCCCAAGAGCCTCCTCACTTTCGGCAGTGCACACGAATAACGCGTCGTCCGCAAAGCCGATGATCACCGCACCTTCGGGGCAGATCCATTCGCAGAGAAAATCATCGTAAGATACATTCCATACAAATGGACCCACCCTCGAGCCTGGAGGAGCCCCACGCTGCATCTCTTCCTGAGAGTGCAGGTGTCTCCCTCATATATAACCCACCTGTCGCTAAGATAATATCCATTATCCGCAACAAGTAGGGCGGCATGTTTTCTTTTCCATCGACTCGATGAGATCTTTCCATCTTGCGGAATGATTAACGCGTTGCGTATGTCAATTGCTACCAACGCGCAGAAGCTCTTCTTTTTCCCAGGTCCCAATTTGTTTTTTCCTGCTTTGGCTATGTCCACAACCTGCCTGGATGGCATCAACCGTGGACTTGCCTTTACGGAAACCAAATGGGTGATCGGATAGACGATTCTCTTCGGTCAAGTGGCTTTGCATTCTCTGCAGAACCATATCCTCTAGAAGTTTACCCATCGTATCTAGCAGGCATATAGGCCTGTACGATGAAACCTTATCTAGAGGTTTTTCACCTTTCCTTAGGAGGACTAACCTCTGTCGCTTCCAGTCGCGGAAGAACTCTCCTCTCTCAAGGCAAAGATTGAAGCATCGAAGCAGAATCTGGGGTGAAGTGTCGATTACCAAACTTAGGATCTCGTTACTTATCCCATCGATTCCAGGCGCCTTGCCTGTTTTCAATCTTTTGCCTGCTTTTTGCAGTTCACTAAGTGTGAAGAGTTCTTCCTTTCTTTCGACTTTGCAAAACTCCAGTCCCTTCTAAGGTATGGCTCCGCAGGAGGAAACAAAGAACTTATTATCTTTCTGACCCAATCGGGATTGTCCAGGCCGGGGGTCTTTTGCCTCGTCACTAATTTTTAGTAACGATTTTAAAAGCCAGACCCCATGGGTCCTTATCGACTTCCTCGATTAGGTCCTTCAGCTACGGGTCGCGACTTGCGGATCTCTTTCTTGAGGTTCTTTTTCGCCTCCTTGAAAGCCTCTTTCAGCAAGGGATCTCCCTTAGATCGGGTATATGTCCTTCTTGCTTTGAGGCATTCCTTTCTCAAGGAGGCTAGCTTTCTGACCACCAGTGCAAGGATTTTTTACGGGAAAGGCGCCTTTGCGCGTGGCATGACGCATTGCAAGCGGTGACTATCATGTTTCTCACCGCTCGCACCTCTCCATCCAGACTTCGGCCTCTTCACCCAGCCCAAGTCCTCAATTAAAAGGGCTTCTCTTAGGGACCGGCCGAACTTTTCCTTGTCGAGTCTCTTCATATTCCACGAGGAGGTTTTGCGACTAGGAGCATCCTGTCTTTTTCCTGCTCGTGTGTCTCCTATCGAGGACTGAGAACTCAATATACTGGTGGTCACTTGCGGTATATTCCTCAGAGACCCGCCAGTCGGTTATGCGGCTAAAAAGTTTAGACGATGCGATTGTTAGATCTATAATTGATCCGATCGCACCTCGTCTAAAAGTCCATGTATTGCCTCGGTTTACTGCAATAAGTCGTTTCTGGAGATCATTTCTCCAATACGAATTCCTCTCTTGTCGAGGTCTCGTCTCACCCCACCTGGCGACTTTGCGTTAAAATCACCAGTGATGATGACATCCAGCCTGGATTCTGTGAGGCTCGCTTCTAGGTCTTCGATATTGGCTTCGAAGTTTGTCAGTGGGTCGTTGGGTGAGAAGTAGCAGCTATACATACGTATATTAGCCACCTCTATCCACACGAACCACTGCTCGTCTCCAGAAACTTGTCAACCCGCAATTCTGGGTTGCACAGCTTTATGGCGGCTCTCTTTGCCTTATCCTGATACCAAGGGGCGAGGTCGCTTCCTTGATACTGCTCACTGCAGAACAGGATATCGACCTCATTTTCCCTTGCTGTTTGCATTAGGAGCAACTGTGCATCCTTACTTGTATGCAGGTTGACCTGCAAAATTTTAAGGATTTGCCCCTTTTAATCTTTGCAGTTCTTCTCTGTAAACCGGGCAGGCTCTCTTTCCGGAATCGTGATCCGTCTCTGGCTTCCCCAGGTCCAAGCACGTAAGGCACTTCGGCTTCACTTTACAGCTCTTCGCGAGGTGTCCCTCTCCGCCGCATCTCCGACAGTTTTTACTTCTGTCGGGGCCTTTGCAGGTTCGGGTAGAGTGTCCATAGGCTAAGCACTTTTGGCACCTAGCTACTTCAACATGCTCGCGAATTTGAGCATTTATCCAGCCGATTTTGATTCGGCCAAGTTTAAGCAGAATGTCACTTTCTGCTTCTGCCAAGCGGATTTAGAGCAACCTTAGTTCCTTTGTAGCGCGGCAGTAATTTGCACTCTATAGGCAGGTCGGACTTGCCTAGCTTTTCTTCCAATGCTGAAGTCACCTCACTCTCTGTAGTGGCTTCATCCAGGTCTCTGATTTCTAGAGACCTCTTATTTACAAGAGGTATGACCTCGGCCTTGCCATGCAGGGCCAAGGACAGACTTTTCGCAAATTTTAAGGTCTCTCCACCCTTTTTCACTATCAGGAGAACTTCCTGTTTAAAAGTTCTCCTGATTTTCTGTACCACGGTGCCTGTATCTTCAGGTTTAACCTTTTCTTTTATCAGCGGCAAGATACCCTCGTAAAACTTTGGGTCTCTTGCCGTGATCTTCACAGCTTCCGTGGACCTGAGTTTCGAAGGGGGCTTCGTGAGCTCTTTTTTCTCGCCTTTGGTCTTTCTTCCTGGAGCCCGTTTCTTTCTTTCTCCAACAACCTTAAAGTCATCCTCAATGTCCGCTCCGTCTTTCAAGACGGTATCGGCATACGTCTTACTAGGACTACTTGAGGACGCCCCTTTTGCTTCAACTAGCGACTCAGGATTAAGCTGTGGAGCATCCTTTCGCTTAATCCTCTTTTCACTTTGAGTCGCTCGTTGTGGACTCACATCCGGGCTTACCCCTTCCCTAGGGCGCTTATTAACCTTTTTCGTCTTAGTTGCGCCTGCAGCCGCGCTATCCCGGGTTGCAATAACACTCTTCGTCTGCCGTGGAGTTTCCACAGTTGGAAATTGCGGCTCTTGGTCTCTGAAAGGCTCGGGGATAAAACGTAAATTCTTACAGATTATATCGAACGCATTTTCCAAAACCGTCACGCCATCCTGGATGTCACGACCGACGTTTTTTTGTCGCTTGAATCCTTGGCGCAAGCTTTTAAAAATTCCCGGGATAGCCAGGAACTGATTTGCGACATTTGATTCGTAGCATGTCACCTGGCTATCTATTTGGCTCCCTCCAAAATCCCTGGAGCCATCTGCACCGACTATCGAGGCTTGCACCCGATCAGAATCGGTGGTGGGATTACCCTCTTTCGAGGTACCCACTTGGAGTAATTTATGTGATTCTTTATCCATTTTATTCATTTCTTTTGGTTTTAAAATCAGGGAACCACCCTGTTGGTTGTCCTTTAGTGAAAAGCCCCGCCACCACGGCAAGGTCTACCGAACATATCCAAGATGCCAGTCGTGTCTGGCAGCGAACCCACTTCTCTTAACTCATCAAAGAAATCAATCATGTCTGGCAGCAGACCCACTTCTCCCAGCCCATCAAAGAAATCAATGATGTTTGGCAGTGGATCCACTTCTCACAGCACATCAAAGAAATCAATGATATTTGGCAGTGGATCCGCTTCTCCCAGTACGTCAAAGACATCGATGATGTTCGGTAGTGGACAACCATCGGCGGGGATTATTATTATTATTATTATTATTATTATTATTATTATTATTATTATTATTATTACTATTATTATTATTATTATTATTATTATTATTATTATTATTATTATTATTATTATTATTATTATTATTATTATTATTTTTTTTTTTTTTTTTTTTTTGCTTAGGGACTTTTGGGAAATCTGCCTACAGATACCTTGGATTCCGCACTCCAAGGTTATGTGGGGTTGGTATGATAAACAAAGGAAATATAAAAAAAGAAAAAATATATATATATAGTAAATTTAATAAACTGGCGACCTACTACCAGCCCGACCCACTAAAACCCGTAACCCTTCTTCTGGAGCCCTTTACCCTCCTCGGAACTGTCGTAAGACTTTAGCCTTCGAGGGCGGCGCTCCAACTCTGTCGCTGATGCGACTTTCTGCTTTTCTCTGCGGTTATCCTGCGTTAATAGTTAAAAATTTAAAACCATTTCAATATAAAGCGGAATTAACAGCACAACAATAATTAAAATAACAAATGTGTAATTAAGTGTAAAAGTCAAAAGATAAAATTATAAACGGATATATAAAAAAAGAAAAAATAAACGCGTATAAAAAATTGAAAACATTAAACTGTACAAAGATGAATAAAAAAAAAACACAAACAATTAAAAAATGTATAAGGACAAATAAATCACAAAATAAATTAATAAAAAACAAACGAATAAATTAAAAGCTGTTTAAATTACGCTTTTTGGCGGCCGTCGAGATCCTTCCTCGACATAACCGAGATTATGAAGTTCTCGACTTGCCGCCAATTCTCCTCTGACTGGGTCATCAGCGATACCATGTTCTCCGGTGTAACTTGACTGTTTACACCTTCGAACATGGCCTGCCTCTCCAAGTCCCATTTCTTGCATGAGAAGAGGGTGTGCTCCGCGTTGTCCTCAGGGAACTGGCAATATGCACACACCTCGTACTCGCGTAATTTAAAGCGGCACAGGTACGAGTTAAAACACCCGTGACCTGTGAACGCCTGAGTCAAGTAATAGGAAACCTGACCGTGTTTCCTATTTATCCAGGTGGCGAGTGCCGGAATAAGGCGATAAGTCCATCGACCTTTCTCCTCACCATCCCATCTTTCTTGCCATCTTTCTATGAGCCTGTACCTCGCTTCTTTGCGGATTAGGCCCTTGCTTGGTCTTAATTCCTCATTCAAGGAACTGCTTTCTTTAGAAAAGAGAAACATTTCTTCCCTTTCCCTCGCCAAAAGATCTGCTGGCGGGACACTTGCAAGGACCTGCACAGCACTCGTAGATACCGTCTTATATGCAGAGATGATACGCGTTGTTATCGATCTCTGCGCAGACAGTATCTTTTCACAGATGGTCACACATCTTTTACTCCTCAGGGATGGGGCCCACGCTGGTGCTGCATAGAGCATTTTAGCGTGGGCGACACTCGCCACCAGTCTTCTTTTTTGTTCACGGGGTCCGCCAACATTTGGCATTAGCCGTGAAAGATTAGCCGCACACTCGATCGCCTTATTTGACGCCGTAGCCATGTGGTGGTGGAAGTTTAACCTTCCATCTAACTCCACACCAAGATATTTAATTTGCTTACTCCACTTGACCTCGAATCCGTCTATCACGATTCGTGGGAGCTCATAACCACGTCTGTCTGTGACCAGCAGTGCCTCGGTCTTTTCCAGGGCCATTTCAAGACCTCTGGTATCCAGCCAGCTTTTAGCTAGTCGCAGACATTCGTTCACCAATGTCCCAAGAGCCTCCTCACTTTCGGCCGTGCACACGAATAACGCGTCGTCCGCAAGCCGATGATCACCGCACCTTCGGGCAGATCCATTCGCAGAAAATCATCGTAAGATACATTCCATAAAAATGGACCCACCCTCGAGCCTTGAGGAGCCCCACGCTGCATCTCTTCCTTGAGAGTGCAGGTGTCTCCCTCATATATAACCCACCTGTCGCTAAGATAATTATCCATTATCCGCAACAAGTAGGGCGGCATGTTTTTCTTTTCCATCGACTCGATGAGATCTTTCCATCTTGCGGAATTAAACGCGTTGCGTATGTCAATTGCTACCAACGCGCAGAAGCTCTTCTTTTTCCCAGGTCCCAATTTGTTTTTTCCTGCTTTGGCTATGTCCACAACTGCCTGGATGGCATCAACCGTGGACTTGCCTTTACGGAAACCAAATTGGTGATCGGATAGACGATTCTCTTCGGTCAAGTGGCTTTGCATTCTCTGCAGAACCATATCCTCTAGAAGTTTACCCATCGTATCTAGCAGGCATATAGGCCTGTACGATGAAACCTTATCTAGAGGTTTCTCACCTTTCCTTAGGAGGACTAACCTCTGTCGCTTCCAGTCGCGGAAGAACTCTCCTCTCTCAAGGCAAAGATTGAAGCATCGAAGCAGAATCTGGGGTGAAGTGTCGATTACCAACTTTAGGATCTCGTTACTTATCCCATCGATTCCAGGCGCCTTGCCTGTTTTCAATCTTTTGCCTGCTTTTTGCAGTTCACTAAGTGTGAAGAGTTCTTCCTCTTCGACTTTGCAAAAACTCCAGTCCCTTCTAAGGTATGGCTCCGCAGGAGGAAACAAAGAACTTATTATCTTTCTGACCCAATCGGGATTGTCCAGGCCGGGGGTCTTTTGCCTCGTCACTAATTTCTTAGTTACGATTTTAAAAGCCAGACCCCATGGGTCCTTATCGACTTCCTCGATTAGGTCCTTCCAGCTATGGCGTCGCGACTTCCGGATCTCTTTCTTGAGGTTCTTTTTCGCCTCCTTGAAAGCCTCTTTCAGCAAGGGATCTCCCTTAGATCGGGTATATGTCCTTCTTGCTTTGAGGCATTCCTTTCTCAAGGAGGCTAGCTCCTCTGACCACCAGTGCAAGGATTTTCTTACGGGAGTGGCGCCTTTGCGTGGCATTGACGCATTGCAAGCGGTGACTATCATGTTCCTCACCGCTCGCACCTCCCCATCCAGACTGCTCGGCCTCTTCACCCAGCCCAAGTCCTCAATTAAAAGGGCTTCTCTTAGGGACCGGCCGAACTTTTCCTTGTCGAGTCTCTTCATATTCCACGAGGAGGTTTTGCGACTAGGAACATCCTGTCTTTTTCCTCCTCGTGTGTCTCCCATCGAGACTGAGAACTCAATGTACTGGTGGTCACTTGCGGTATATTCCTCAGAGACCCGCCAGTCGGTTATGCGGCTAAATAGTTTAGTCGATGCGATCGTTAGATCTATAATTGATCCGATCGCACCTCTTCTAAAAGTCCATGTATTGCCTCGGTTTACAGCCAATAAGTCGTTTCTGGAGATCATTTCTCCAATACGAATTCCTCTCTTGTCGAGTCTCGTCTCACCCCACTCTGGCGACTTTGCGTTAAAATCGCCAGTGATGATGACATCCAGCCTGGATTCTGCGAGGCTCGCTTCTAGGTCTTCGATATTGGCTTCGAAGTTTGTCAGTGGGTCGTTGGGTGAGAAGTAGCAGCTATACATACGTATATTAGCTACCTCTATCCACACGAACCCACTGCTCGTCTCCAGAAACTTGTCAACCCGCAATTCTGGGTTGCACAGCTTTATGGCGGCTCTCTTCGCCTTATCCTGGTACCAAGAGGCGAGGTCGCTTCCTTGATACTGCTCACTGCAGAACAGGATATCGACCTCATTTTCCCTTGCTGTTTGCATTAGGAGCAACTGTGCATCCTTACTTGTATGCAGGTTGACCTGCAAAAATTTTAAGGATTTGCCCTTTTAATCTTTTGCAGTTCTTCTCTGTAAACCGGGCAGGCTCTCTTTCCGGAATCGTGATCCGTCTCTGGCTTCCCCAGGTCCAAGCACGTAAGGCACTTCGGCTTAACTTTACAGCTCTTCGCGAGGTGTCCCTCTCCGCCGCATCTCCGACAGTTTTTACTTCTGTCGGGGCCTTTGCAGGTTCGGGTTGAGTGTCCGTATGCTAGGCACTTTTGGCACCTAGCTACTTCAACATGCTCGCGAATTGGAGCATTTATCCATCCGATTTTTATTTTACCAAGCTTTAGCAGAGTATTACTTTCTGCCTCTGTCAGACGTACTAGAGCAACCTTAGTTCCTCTGTAGCGCGGCAAAAGTCGACACTCCATCTTCAGGTCAGGTTTACCCAGCTTTTCTCTTAGTGCTGCATTTACCTCATCCTCTGAGGTGGCTTCGTCCAAATCCTTAATCTCTAGAGACCTTTTATTCACTAGAGGTGTGACCTCAGCTTTACCATGCAGGGCCGAAGACAGTGCATCTGCAAATTTTAAGGTCTCTCCGCCCTTTTTCACTATCACGAGAACCTCCTGTTTAAAAGTTCTCCTGATTTTCCGGATCACGGTACCCGTATCTTCTGGGTTTACCTTTGCTTTTATTAGCGGCAAGATACCCTCATAAAACTTTGGGTCGCTTGCCGTAATTTTAACAGCTTCCGTGCTCCTTAGCTTCAAAGGGGGCTTCGGAAGCTCCTTTTTCTCACCTGAGGGTTTCTCTTTTGGAGTCCGTTTCTCCTTGTTTTTAACAACCTTGAAACCGTCTCCATTGTCCGCTCCGTCCCTCAAGACGGTCTCAGCATACGACTTGCCAGGACTGTTTGAGGGCGCCTCTCTTGCTCTAACCAGCGACTCAGAACCAAGCTGTGGAGCCTCCTTTCGCTTAATTCTCTTCCCGCCTTGAGTCGCCCGTCGCGGACTCGCATCTGGGCTTGTACCTTCCCTGGGGCGTTTATTAACGCCTTTTGCCTTATTAGGACATGTCTTTGCGCCGTTCAGAGGTGCAGTAGTGCTCTCCGTCTGCTGTGGAGCTACCACAGTTGGGTGTTGCGGCTCCTGGTCTATGAAAGGCTTGGGGATAAAACGTAAATTCCTACAGATTATCTCAAACGCACCTTCCAAAACCGTCACGCCATCCTGGATTTCTTTTAGAGCCCTTTACCCTCCCTCGGAACTGTCGTAAGACTTTAGCCTTCGAGGGAGGCGCTCCAACTCTATCGCTGCTGCGACTTTGTTCTGTGTCTGCGGTTCTCCTGCGTCAATAGTTAAAAAATTTAAAACTATTTCAATATAAAAGCGGAATTAACAGCACAACAACAATAAAAAACAAAAATTTTAAGAAGTTTAAAAAGTCAAAAGATAAAATTATAAACGGATATATAAAAAAAATAAAAATAAACGCGTATAAAATATTGAAAACATAAAATTGTACAAAGATGAATAAAAAAAACAAAACAAATTAAAAAAAATGTATAGGGACAAATAAATCACAAAATAAATTAATAAAAAACAAACAAACAAATTAAAAGCTGTTTAAATTACGCTTTTTGGCGGCCGTCGAGATCCTTCCTCGACATAACCGAGATTATGAAGTTCTCGACTTGCCGCCAATTCTCTTCCGACTGGGTCATCAGCGATACCATATTCTCCGGTGTAACTTGACTGTTTACACCTTCGAACATGGCCCGCCTCTCCAAGTCCCATTTTTTGCATGAGAAGAGGGTGTGCTCCGCGTTGTCCTCAGGGAACTGGCAATATGCACACACCTCGTTCTCGCGTAATTTAAAGCGACACAGGTACGAGTTAAAACACCCGTGACCTGTGAACGCCTGAGTCAAGTAATAGGAAACCTGACCGTGTTTCCTATTTATCCAGGTGGCGAGTGCCGGGATAAGGCGATAAGTCCATCGACCTTTTTCCTCACCATCCCATCTTTCTTGCCATCTTTCTATGAGCCTGTGCCTCGCTTCTTTGCGGATCAGGCCCTTGCTTGGTCTTAATTCCTCATCCCAGGAACTGCTTTCTTTAGAAAAGAGAAACATTTCTTCCCTTTCCCTCGCCAAGAGATCTGCTGGCGGGACACTTGCAAGGACCTGCACAGCACTCGTAGATACCGTCTTATATGCAGAGATGATACGCGTTGTTATCGATCTCTGCGCCGACAGTATCTTTTCACAGATGGTAACACATCTTTTACTCCTCAGGGATGGGGCCCACGCTGGTGCTGCATAGAGCATTTTAGCGTGGGCGACACTCGCCACCAGTCTTCTTTTTTGTTCACGGGGTCCGCCAACATTTGGCATTAACCGTGAAAGATTAGCCGCACACTCGATCGCCTTATTCGACGCCGTAGCCATGTGGTGGTGGAAGTTTAACCTTCCATCCAACTCCACACCAAGGTATTTAATTTGTTTACTCCACTTGACCTCGAATCCGTCTATCACGATTCGTGGGAGCTCATAACCACGTCTGTCTGTGACTAGCAGTGCCTCGGTCTTTTCCAGGGCCATTTCAAGACCTCTGGTATCCAGCCAGCTTTTTGCTAGTCGCAGACATTCGTTCACCAATGTCCCAAGAGCCTCCTCACTCTCGGCAGTGCACACGAACAACGCGTCGTCCGCAAAGCCGATAATCATCGCACCTTCGGGCAGATCCATTCGCAGAAAATCATCGTAAGATACATTCCATACAAATGGACCCACCCTCGAGCCTTGAGGAGCCCCACGCTGCATCTCTTCCCTGAGAGTGCAGGTGTCTCCCTCATATATAACCCACCTGTCGCTAAGATAATTATCCATTATCCGCAACAAGTAGGGCGGCATGTTTTTCTTTTCCATCGACTCGATGAGATCTTTCCATCTTGCGGAATTAAACGCGTTGCGTATGTCAATTGCTACCAACGCGCAGAAGCTCTTCTTTTTCCCAGGTCCCAATTTGTTTTTTCCTGCTTTGGCTATGTCCACAACTGCCTGGATGGCATCAACTGTGGACTTGCCTTTACGGAAACCAAATTGGTAATCGGATAGACGATTCTCTTCAGTCAAGTGGCCCTGCATTCTCTGGAGAACCATATCCTCTAGAAGTTTACCCATCGTATCTAGCAGGCATATAGGCCTGTACGATGAAACCTTATCTAGAGGTTTTTCACCTTTCCTTAGGAGGACTAACCTCTGTCGCTTCCAGTCGCGGAAGAACTCTCCTCTCTCAAGGCAAAGATTGAAGCATCGAAGCAGAATCTGGGGTGAAGTGTCGATTACCAACTTTAGGATCTCGTTACTTATCCCATCGATTCCAGGCGCCTTGCCTGTTTTTAATCTTTTGCCTGCTTTTTTCAGTTCACTAAGTGTGAAGAGTTCTTCCTCTTCGACTTTGCAAAAACTCCAGTCCCTTCTAAGGTATGGTTCTGCAGGAGGAAACAAAGAACTTATTATCTTTCTGACCCAATCGGGATTGTCCAGGCCGGGGGTCTTTTGCCTCGTCACTAATTTCTTAGTTACGATTTTAAAAGCCAGACCCCATGGGTCCTTATCGACCTCCTCGATTAGGTCCTTCCAGCTACGGCGTCGCGACTTGCGGATCTCTTTCTTGAGGTCCTTTTTCGCCTCCTTGAAAGCCTCTTTCAGCAAGGGATCTCCCTTAGAACGGGTATATGTCCTTCTTGCTTTGAGGCATTGCTTTCTCAAGGAGGACAGTTTTTCTGACCACCAGTGCAAGGATTTTTTCCTTGGAAAGGCGCCTTTGCGACGTGGCATCGACGCCTTGCAAGCGGTGACGATTATATTTCGCACCGCTCGCACCTCTCCATTTAGACTTTTCGGCCTCCTCACCCAACCAGAATCCTCAATTAAGATAGATTCTTTTAGGGACCGGCTGAACTTCTCCTTGTCGAGTTTCTTAATGTTCCACGAGAAGGTTTTGCGACTAGGAGCTTCCTGTCTCTTTCCTCCTCGTGTGTCTCCCATTGAGACTGAGAACTCAATGTACTGGTGGTCACTTGCTGTATATTCCTCGGAGACCCGCCAGTCGCTTATGCGGCTAAATATATTAGACGATGCTATCGTTAGATCTATTATCGATCCGATCGCACCTCGTCTAAACGTCCATGTTTTTCCCCGGTTTACAACTAATAAATCGTTCTTGGAGATCATTTCTCCAATCAGAATTCCTCTCTTGTCGAGCCTCGTCTCACCCCACTCTGGCGACTTTGCATTAAAATCGCCAGTGATGATGACATCCAGCTTGGATTCTATGAGGCTCGATTCTAGGTCTTCTATATTGGCTTCGAAGGTGGTCAGCGGGTCGTTGGGTGAGAAGTAGCAGCTATACATACGTATGTTAGCCACCTCTATCCACACAAACCCGCTGCTTGTCTCCAAGAACTTGTCAACCCGCAATTCTGGGTTGCACAGCTTGATGGCGGCTCTCTTCGCCTTATCCTGATACCAAGGTGCGAGGTCGCTTCCTTGATACTGCTCACTGCAGAACAGGATATCCACCTCATTTTCCCTAGCTGTTTGCATCAGGAGCACCTGTGCATCCTTACTTGTATGCAGGTTGACTTGAAGGAGCTTTAAGGATTTGCCCTTTTAAGTTTCTCCAGTTCCTCCTTGTAAACCGGGCAGGAAATTCTTCCAGGGATATGGTTGACTTCCGTTTTTCCCAAATCTGTACACGTTATGCACTTTGGCTTGTCATTAGTACACTTTTTGGAGAAGTGTCCCGCTTCGCCGCATCTCCGACAGTTTTTTGTTCTGTCGGGGCCCTTGCAAATTCGGGTCACGTGTCCATAGGCTAGGCACTTTTGACATCTTGTCACTTCTAAGTGCGTTCGGATGGATGCATTTATCCAGCCAATACGCACTTTGCCCAGCTTAAGCAGACTCTCGCTGTCCGTTTCATTCAAGCGTACTAGTGCCACTTTCGTACCACCAAAACGTGTCAGAAGTCGGCAAGTCACCTCTAATTCGGGCTTTTGCAACTTCTGCTTTAAGACGGTTAAAACGTCCTCCTCTAAAGTTGTTTCGACAAGATCCCGAATTTCGAGGGTCTTTTTACTGACAAGAGCCGTAACCTCGGCCTTGTCCAGAAGAACGGAGGTAAGATTCTGAGCGAACTTTGAAGTTTCACCCCCCTTTTTCACAACAACAAGAACCTCTTTTTTAAGAGTTCTCCTAATTTTCACAATCTCTGTTCCAGTTTCCTCTGGCTTTACCGAAGTTGTTGCCAGTTTTATGAGATCATGGTAGGTCTCTGGATTCCGGGCCACAATTTTTATTGCCTCCGTTGTTCTAATTTTGGGGGGGCGCTTCTGAAGTCGCTCCCTCTCCTCCGCTTTCTTCAAGGCCTTTTTCTTACGGGCCTCCCGTTTCCTATTGGAGACAGTTTCAAAGTCTTTTTCGTTTTCAGGCTTATTTGCCACAGTTGCCTCCGAATAAGAAGCAACCCTGGCCGAAGCAGCCTTACTCACCTCCGTCTCCATAACAGTAGGGTTTGCCTTGGTCTCCTTGCTCTTAACCCTCTTACCCTTGGGAGTGGTCACAGAAGAATCAGTCTCCGGACCTTCAAACTCTCTAGGGCGCTTCCTTGGGTCGATGGACTTGCTCTCGCTGGATGTGGCGTGCGACATCGATCTAGGAGTTTCAGGATTCGACCTTGGTTTGCTTGGGCTAATGAAGGGCTTAGGTATAAATCGCAGGTTTCTGCAAAGCACCTCGTGCACCTTCTCCATTGCCACCATTCCATCCTTAACATCCTTGCTAATGTTTTTTTGCTTTTTGCAAGCACGCCACATACTATCCAGTATTATTGTGATCAGATCGACCTGTTCTAAAACATTTTCTTCGAATCTGCTAAGTCCCACATCCTCAGAATTTTTTATTTGGCTCCCTCCAAAATCCTTGGAGCCGTCTGCACCGACTACCGGGGCTTGAACCCGATCAGAATCGGTGACGGGATTACCCTCATTTGAGGTACCCGCTTGGAGTAATTTATTTGAATCTTTATCCATTTCATTCATTTTTTTTTGGTTTTAGAATCAGGGAACCACCCTGTTGGTTGCCCT